GCTGGGAATTGAACTCAAGTCCTCTGGAAGAGCAGTCGGTGCTCTTAACCTCTGAGCCATCTCTCCAGCCCCTCTTTTACTTTCTTTACAGTATCTGTTGACAGCAGAAGGTCTTAAGGGGGGATGAGGTGTCTTAGAGGCCAAAGCACTGGCCACAGAGCCTGATTTCTGTATTTGATTCCTGCAAGTTGTCCTCTGACCTCTGCACATGTACTGTGGCACATGCACACCATTCCCTGAAATAAATAAATAAATGTAAAAAAAATTAAGTCCTTATAGTTAATGTAGATACATTTATCTATTCATTATGAAGACTTTCCCCTTTTATCTGTTGATATTTATATGCCTTTTTTGTTGTTGTTTTGGTTTTAGAGATGGTTTCATGTAGTGTGTAACCTTGGTTGGCCTCAAACTTTCTGTAGAGCCAAGGCTGGCTTTTAACTCCCAGCCCGTCTCTATTTTCCAAGTGCTGGTTTCACTGGTGTGTGCAACACACCTGGCTCCGGATACGGCTGTTTGGGGCCCTTTGTGATTCCATGTGAATTTTAGACTTTTTTTCTATTTTTTTAAAAGATTTATTTATTTATTACATATACAATGTTCTGTCTACATGTTTGCCTGCAGGCCAGAGGTGGGCATCAGATCTCACTATAGATGGTTTTGAGCCACCATGTGGTTGCTGGGAATTGAACTCAGGACCTCTGGAAGAGTAGTCAGTGCTCTTAACCTCTGAGCCATCTCTCCAGCCTCCTATTTCTTTTAATAATGGCTTTAGAACTTAAATGGGAAGCCATTGTGTCTTTTGATATCCTTTGGCAATCCTCCAGGTGATAAACGTGCAACATCTTTCTATTTATCCATACCATCTTCAGTTTCTTCCATTATTATTTTACAGTTTCATTTCTTCAGTTAAATTATCCCAAGTTTGTTTTTTATAGATTTTTCTGAAATTTTACTATCAAATCTCTACTTGAGAAACACTGAACAAAAGTGAGAAAACATGAGGGAAACTATCACATTTCACTGGGTGACTCAGTGAGTACATTGGTACTGACAGAAGTGTGGGTTCCCAGGGTACCCTGCACCCCCCAGCATCATTTAGTCTTTGACTAATCTCCATCATCAGTTAATGCCACATTCAATTCGATAGTGTTTCTTTCTTCAATTCAGACTTAGTCCATATTCTGTGCCTTTAAGGCATCTTGGTCTTCCCTTTATGTGGTGTTTTGAATAGGATCGGCCCACATGGACTCATGTTTGAAGGCTTGGCCCATAGGGAGTGGCACTATCAGGAGGTGTGTCCTTGTTGGAGGAAGTGTGTCACTGTGGGGGCGGGCTTTGAGGTCTCACGTGCTCAAGCTACACCCAAAGTAGTAGACAGTTTACTTCCTGTTGCCTGTGGATCAAGATGTAGAACTCTCAGCTCTTTGTCCAGAACCATGTCTGCCTACATGCTGCCATGTCCCA